TATTACAAAGATGTCCATTCTCCCTCAAATAATCTATAGATTCAATGCAATTCCAATCAAATCCCAGCACGGTTTTTCTATAAATTGACAGGCTGATTCTAAAATTTATACAGAGACAAAGAAACTAAAGAACCTGAACAGTTAAAACAATCCTTAAAAAGACATTAAGTCAGTGGATTCACAGCACATGATTTCAAGACTTAACTATGAAGCTATAATCACCAAAATAGGGTGGTGCTGGCAAAAAGACACACAGATCAATGGAGCAGAATAGAAAACACAGAAATAGACCTACACATATAAGATAAATTGATTTCTGACAAAGGTGTAAAGGCAATTTAATGGGACATGGATAGTCTTTGCCAGAACTGGACATCTATGTGCAAAAATAATAACACCAAGAACCTCAATTCATACCTCACACAAAAACAGAAATTAATTTAAAATGGATCACAGATCTATAAATGTAAAACCCCAAACTGAAAACTTCTAAAAGAAAATATTAAAGAAATGCTTTGAGACCTTGGGTTAGGCAAACACAATTTATATACCATACCAAAAGAACAACTCAAAAAAGTTTATAAATTATACTTTATCAAAGTAAAACTTTTAAAAAGACACTGCTAAAAAATGAAAGGGCAAGCCACAGACAAGGAGAAAAGATTTCCAAAGTATGTATCTGATAAAGACTTGTATCCAGAATAAAGAACACTTAAAATTCAATATGACAACCCAAATAAAAATCAGACAAAAGGTTTGAAGGAAGATTTGACTTTAACAAAAGACATAAGAAAGGCCGATATGCACATGAAAAAATGCTCAATATCATTAGCCATCAGTTATACGCATATTAAAACCACACTACAAACTCACTCAAATGGCTAAAATTAAAGTCCGACAATACCAAGAGTTACAAAGGATATGGAGCAACTGGAGCTCTTATGCCTTGCTGGTAAAATCTAAAATGATACAATCATTTTGGGAAACAGCTTGATAGCTTCTAACAGTAAACTTATATTTATTTATATGACTCAGTCATTTGTCCAAGAGAAATGAAAATACATGTTTACCCAAAGACTTTATTCACAATAGCAAAACACTGCAAATAACCCAAATGTCCATCAACAAGTGAATAAATAAACAAAATGACATGCTGGAATGAAGAAATATAATGCAATACTCCTAAGTATAAAAAAGAAACAAACAACTGATATATGCAAGATGAAGGATTTTCAAAAACAATTTGTTGAATGATATAAGCTAAACAAAACACATACTGTACAATTCTATTTATATGAAATTCTAGAATGACAAATAGTTGTCTGAGACCTAAGGTGGACTGGTGGAAAATAATGACAAAAGGGAGCAAGAGAATTTTGGAAGGTGATAAAAATAATCTATACATGCACTGTCCAATATGGCAGCCACCAGCCATGTGTAGCTACTGAGCATCTGAAAAGTGGCCAAGTTTTAGATTTAAATTGAGGAGCTAAAATTTAAATTTATTTAAATTTAAGTTTAAATTTAAAAATTGATACTTGATTCAGTTATTGGGAAACATTTAAGGATGTCTGGAAAAACAGGTATGGGAATAGACTTTTTCAACTGTAAATTTTATGAAGTCTAAATATAAATCAATGAAAAATTAATGAAAATTTAGCACTGAATTGAGATGTAAATGTAAAATAGACACTGAATTTCAAAGACAGTATGAAAAAAGAATGTAAAATGGCTTAATAACAGTATTTTTTATTGATTACATGTTGAAATGATGATTCTTAATATACTGGGCTATGTGAAATACATTATTAACTTTATTTGTTTCTTTTAAACTATTTTACTGTGTCTACTACAAAATATAAAATTACGTATCTCACTTGCATTACATTTCTATAGAATAGGGCTGTTCTATACATTCACTGTGCTGAAAACAAAGGTGTATGCATCAGCCAAAATGAGAACTGTACACTTAAAATGAGTCTGATTTATTGTACATAAACTATGCCTCAATAAAAGTGATAAAAACATTAAATCGGGTAGTATATATATATATATATATCCGTGTGTGCTAATTTGTGTGTATAAATGATTATCTCGTTGCTGACCTTTCCTTATCAATAATCAGAAATGTAAAAAAAAATTCACAAGGTATAGACATGCAAAATTAACTGTTCCTCTTAATAGTTAATACACTCAGTTATATTACAGTTATTTAATGTCGGCCTCTCCCACTAGCTATTGAATTTCTTGAAGTTAGGAATACTGTCTTGTTCATGTCTGTATAAGCCTAGAACTTAACATAGTAAGTTAACCCTACTACCTCCTCTAAAAAAAGTAAATAAATAAATAAATAAATCTAATTACCATCCTCCCCCCACCAAAAAAAACAAACAAGTAAGCAAACAAAAGCCACAGCAAGTTAACACAGCACTTTATCAATGTTTTAATATGCAAAATTATCCCAGACACTTTATATACAGTCTAAATCCCACAAAACCCCTGCAAATTTGGCATTGTTATTTGGCAGTCTCAGTTTTCAGATGAAAAAACTGAGGGTCAGAGGTCAGAAAGGTTAGGGTAACTCACCAAATATCCAGAACTAGTAAGTGAAAGAGCTATGTTCCAAACCCACACTGACCTCAACTCCAACACCCTTTCTTCCACACTATACCACCTCTCTAGGTGAGCATTTCATAACTGTTTGATGAGTGCCTGAATCAAAATAAAGATTAGCATTTAGGGGCAACGGAACCACAGAAATTTTCCTGAACTTTTAGTGTTACAGCTTCATAGTCTTTGAACGAGTCCCCTCGAGACAGGGAGCAACTTGGCAGCTCTTCCCAGAAAATCAGGAAGCATGAATCTAGTACAAAAAAAATTTCCTCCTAATTAAACTTCCCATTTGGGAGTCTGAAGAAGAAAAATAACACAGAACAAAGAAAATGAGAAAGAGAAAAAAGGAAATGCTGAATCTGCTAATATACCTAATTAATGGGAAAGAATCAATCTAACAGTTAACTTCAGCATTCAAAAATGAAAAGTTAGGAGATCCTAGAGAGGAAGTTTCTAAGTCTTTTGGAACTCCTTTTTAATTAGGCTCCCAATCTCAGCATTCCTGTTTGAATAATCCATATATCTGGTTATTTATTCAGCTCCCCACTGCTGCACATTTCCAAGCCATATGCTACAGGAATACATCACCTCGTATTTGCTCTCAACCATCGAAAGACACTGGCAGTTCAGACCTTTAAGAAGCTTAGAGAAAAGTCCCTGCAGAGTATAGTTTTAAGGTTAGAAGGCCCAGGAAGCCAAATGCATCTTCTTTATATGCTATTTGCTTGAGAAAAGGTAGGTCATTTCAACAAAAGGACAGGCAATTAGAAGGGTAAATGAGACAAACAAACAAAAGACTCAAGAGAGTAAAGCTAGCAAAAATCAGCTGAACACTGAAGGCCTCTGAATAATTCCAATGCTGCTCTCTGCACTTTAAAATAAAATTTTTAAAGCAATTCCAAAAAGGAAGATTTTCCCATCAATCCAAGGTCTGGTATGTACTAGATAAATGAGGTCTACTGTGCCCCCACCCCAGCTCTACACAAATCTTTAAAGAGAAGATATTTTAGAAACATAAACCTTTATAATCCTAAAAACAAAAATAGTTTTAAGTATAAAAATTGTAGAATTTGTCATTGGGGAATTTGTTATAATAACAAAACACTGGAAATAACCTCAATATCAATAACAGAAGATGATGAAGTAAGCTATATTCCCTTAGAGTCCATTATGCAGTTATTGAAAACTCTCAGGAAGATTATGGCACAGCACAGGAAACAGCATGTAAGTTTAAAAAAAACAGTATAGAAAATTACATGCGTGGTAGGCCTAAAAAGCTGTTAAAAACAAGAAAAGTTGCAGAAAAAAAGACCAGAAAGATTATGCATCCAAAGTTGGGTTGTGTTTCAGTAACAGAGCTATTTTTAGGTTCCGGATGCAGGAATTCTGTCTTATTTATTTCCGTAGAAGCTGAGCACTTAACATAGTACCTTATCAGTGTTTCTAACAGCAGTTTTGCATGTCTATATTGTAAATTATATTTAGTAGATATATATCAAATTTATAAATAATTTTTTTCAAACAAGTAGTTTAACAGAAGTTTCATTGTATGTGAATACAAGTTTCAAGACGTGGACTCTGGCTCAAGTTCATAAAGAATAATCCCATAATGATTAGTCTTCCAACCATGCAAACATGCTCTTGCATGTCTCAATTTAAAAAACTGTCCATTGACACTACAACACCTTCACCTCATTTCTCTCTTTCCCTTCCAAGCTAGATTTCTCAAAAGAGTTATCGGTAACAAGTTACCTCCTATTTACTTCTAACTTCAGGACTCTGTGAAATATACTAACATGGTATCTACTTTAAATACTTTAAGGAATCAAGGCATAAATAATAGGATACACAAGGAAAGTACCATAAAGAAAAGTTCTAGAACTATCTTGCACACTTTCATGTTTCCTATGCCAGGCACACATCACATGCACAATTCATTACTGAAAATAATATATAATGAAAATATGTACAAATGAGAAATATGAATGACATTCTGCTGTTAATAATAAAAATACAGACAAACATATGGCATAGATAGGTCTACATGGGATATAAAGAAAATTGAGTTGTTTAGAAATTAATATAGGATATGTCTGGAAGCTAATGACTACAGCTCCAAAAACCTATGCATTAAGAGAAGAAAAAAAAAGCAAAAAAATATTTCCCTTCAATGGGACACAATAAGGGGCCACAAACAGACCAAAATATACTTTTTATTCATCCAATCTAACTTTAGAAAAGACTACACACATACCTGAAAACTTTATTGTTTTATATATCTAGGAAACTTAATGGAATAAAATATCACAGCTACACGTTCTCAAATTCAGGTTAACAGTGAGGAGCTGTTCAAAAAGAGATGGAGAGATAGGAGATATGAAGCATACCTGAGCATGAGATTCATCAGCTGAAGACCCTCGCCCTTCAGGAAGCGTTCACGATTGGAACTGAGCATTAGGCAGGAGCAGAGTGAATCGAACAGATTCTCCATCATCTCCTGCTCCTCAGCGGTGCTAGGATTGTGTCTTTTAAACACCTGTAAAACAAAGACATCAGAAAGCACAGAACCATAAGAGAATGTCTTTTCATCAACCAGCACTCAACAATTTCCAAAGCCTGTCTGTCCTGATTACCACCCAGTTGAAGAAACAGAAGCTTACCAAACAAAATTCTCATCAGTTTCCATTTTAGAGAAACTGGGTTTTCTGATTCACAGGTATTAAATAAATGTCTTGTTCATGTAAAAACCAAAACTCTCAACTGACCATTGTGTCCATGAGTGACTGATAGTTGCAAGGAGGCAGAGCCCCACCCAACCACAACCCATCTCCTCCCCTTCGAAAAGAAACCACAATCCAGAAGGGCAAATCTTGGCTCGATAATAAGGAAGAGTCTCCTAACCATCAGGGCTGCTAAACTGCCTCGTATACCAGTTGTGGCTCTAAGTCATGGGAACAGCTCAAAGCACAAGTTTTGTCTTTTCCAGAAATATATGGCATGTGAAAAGGAAAAAGCCTTTTAACAGTGTATGCATATCCATACAGTCTCTTACAAAATGATCAATAATCTTGCAAGAACAGGACTAAGCACTTTCCCAGAACTGGAAACAGATTCACAATTCAAAGCTCTATTTTTTTAGGATGGAGGCCAAGTCACTCAGGCTGCTGGCACCAAAATGGAAGCTGTATGCAAACTGACATCTCAGACACTCCCAACACTCTCAAGATTTAATCCAAATGATCTATTTTCAGTCCTGGTTTGGGAATAGTACGGATGAGATTTGTTAGAAAAAATCCTAACAGTATTTTCAGAACGCCAGCAGAACATCATTTCAACTGGATTTATATTTATTACAATGAGTAAATGGCAATTCCTGATTCCTTATTCCAACCTCCAATGCCACATCCTTCCCTCCCCTCTTCTGTGACCTCTATCCCATTGTATTGGAAGTTGTACTCCTGGAGCTTATCTGGATCCTAAGTGAACTAACTCCATGTTAGCAGCAGATTGACAGGAAAGAAAACGAATAATCTTTGGAGTGGGTCAACTGAAAACAATTTGGTATTCTTGGCCCAAGAACATACACTTAAGCAGGAAGTACACCTCTTTTGGACTGACAAATATCAAAAGTCCTCACCAGATACACAGTGATATCTGGTTATAAAAAGCAAATGACTAAGAAAAGGAGACAAACCGTGTACCTCCAATGTAGTCTCAAACCTGCCACATACCCCATATGGCTTGCATCATATGGCTTATTCCTTCCCGAAATTTCCAGCTCCACCCCCCACTTAAATAAAGCAAGCCATGTATCTTCATGGCAGGCAGGAAGCATAAGAATTACTCACGGATAACTGCTGAAGAAGCACATCGATTCCATCCAGCTCCCCAAGCAATTCCCTGTTTTCTAAAAAGGGGAAAAAATAGGAAGAAAAAAAAAATGAAGCTAACTGTCAGATTTTACAGCCGTCTAACACTGATACATCAGCAAACAAAATCAATACACCTTGACAGAGTACAAAAGCTGCACAGAGAGTGAGAGGGAGAGCAAGGGGATGCCAAAGGCAAGAGAGCTTGCTGTCATGATCTGAAACAAGCCTGGCTCCTATCCTAACAGTATATCAATACCAAGAGGGAGCCTCACCATCATTGTCCTGGAGCAATATGGCCAGCACTTCACTACAATACAGTTTGTTGGCATCGAAAGGCATCTTTGCCTGTGGGGAAATAGGAGAAATGAGAAAAAAATGTTAAGGGGCCTTGCTTCTTTCCCCAGGACAAATTTCTCTTAAGTACTAAGATCTGAATTAGAGAGAAGCATACGTTAGAAAAGGGAAAAGGCAGGTTAAGGGTAACACAACATCTGCCTCTCCTCTCAAGAGACCAGACTCAAGTACCACATAGTAAAACCATAAATGGTAGAAGTACACAATGGTTCTCACACTCCTACTGCCCAGTATGAATGTCACCTCCTCTGTGAGGCCTTCCCAGATTTCCCATTTTGAGTTCAGGACTGTTGTCTAGCATATAGTACATACTCAAATGTGAACTAGATGAATAATGGAAGTTTTGAAGTTTTAAGGCTAAAATCCATGAAACTTCATCACAAGCTACAATCATAAAATTAGGCTACAAATTAGCAGATAGATGATCAGAGAGGCTGAAAAGAAAGCAAGTACTTGTTTAGATTAGTTGAATGTCTTTATAACAAAGTAGTTCCTTTTGGATTTTTTTAATGCTGAAAATTTAATTTGAAACCATAAGCCTATCTGTTCGTGGACCATAATCTGCCTACTATTTAAAAAGGAAACCACATTAAATATGCAGAAATGTATTAATATTTTAACACCCAAATTACTATCCACAATTCTTCCCCTGCAGCATGCTCTGCTACTTGGAGTTGCAGAGGGGACACATCTACTGCAGAGACTATCTTTCATGGCCATCCACATTGCTGTTTCAGTAGCGACACTCAAGGATCTCTCCATTAACAATGCCCCTCAGATAAAGGTACACAGAGAGGAGCAAGCCTCATTGATGTGTTTTTATATACTGTACCCTTGATCCTTTAAATGCAGACACCTAGACAATGACTGTTAATCAGCAGCAGCCTCGCTACTTATACAAGTTTTTGAAATGACAAATAATTACTGTACCTGGAAAGGGAAAGTGTTTATCCTGGAGCTAACACCTTCATCACCTTAGCACCATTCACAGTTCTGTTTGGACATTGATTTTGTACTTAAGAGGGAAGAGTGGCCCTTAATGAAGCAACACACAGCATCTTTTCAGTTCTCTTTGCACGTCTTCCTCATCATGCCTAAGTGCACCCCATGGGATTTCAGAAGGCTGACCAGGTATGACCCATCTTAGGTTGAAAGATCTGTAAATACAAGGTCTTACATGTGCTGACTACAAGGTATACTCTTGAGCAAATTTAAGGCCTTGTTTCAAGAAATTCAGGGTAACAGCCAGGGTTTAAATGCATTTTTCACTTTAAGAAAAATAGTTTTATGCAAATCAAAACCCATAGTTTAAAGCCAAAGGGTGAGCATCTCTATTGGAATGAAGGATTTATTAATGAAATTACTTCCTCAAACATTTAAGTTACAAATATTGCTAGTTTAAATGATTTAAGCCATACCAGCTTATACACAGCTTTTCAAGGGTCAGGGTTCTTGTTTGAAACAGGTACACTTAACTGAAAGAAACCAAACAACATTAGGCCACTAGAGCAATAGGCTTTCTATGGTTCCAATGCCTCTTGTCCTTTATTTGACTTTATAAACTCCTGTCTCCAAAGTAGGAGGGAGGTTTCCTCTTTTTTCAACAAATATTTACTGGGCATTTGCCATATTTAAGACAAAACAATTGGAAGTGATAGCAAACAGAGGCGATTTGAATGAACATGGTCCATTGTCATGGCATTTTTTAAAATTACACTGAATTAAAATCAATTTTATCAAGTAATACAGTCATGTTTAAAAAATAAGGACATGAACCTGGGATCAGACACACCTAGATTTAATTCATGAGCATGCACTACCTATGTGACACAAGTATGCAGTTCCCAAACTATGTGCCAAGATCCCTGGGACATCATACTGAATTCACAGGGGAATTCACAGGATTTCCAAGGAAAGCACAGTGACATCCAATATCTGTTGAATAGTGAGTGCATTAACCACTAGTTCCAGGTACACTTCTTTTGATGACATCCTAGCTTTGTGAAGCTGGGTTTCGGTGGTTGCTGTGATAAAAGAACTGTGTGAAAATCAATGTGGAATAGGAATGAAGGTGGTGGTGTTTACTCTGATTCCAAGGTTTTAGAAGTTGTGCAGTACTCAAAAGGTACACATATCTACTGCTAAGTAATTGTGATATTTAAGATGAAATAAAAATGCTTTTAATTCATGTATATTATTTTCTCAAATAGATACTAAATTGTTAGGACATAAATATGTATTAAACTGTTTGGACCTAATTCCTTTAAATGGGACTATTAGGTCCTTTTTGGCACAGGACCCTGTAAAAACAAAATTACTAAGACACTAATGGCACCATAAATTAAGAATGGTCATCTACCAGAAATTGACACCTTGTAATCGACTGTAGTTTAAAAAAAAAAAAAAAAAAAGAATGGTCATCTATGACCAAAGAAACATTTCTTGGTCTCAAGTTTCTTTATCTGTAATATGAAAATAACAAAGTAAGAACTTCTTTGGAGAGTTACTATGAGAATTAAATAAATAATATGGAAGTACCTAACACACAGTAGGTACCACAAGTTTTTCTGATGTCTGGAAATTAGAAATATTCAGGTTAAAATCTCAGTTCCAACAGTTACCAGCTATGTGAGCTTGGCCAAGTTACTCTGCCTCGCTAATCTGATTGGTATCTCCTATGTTAAGCAAAGCTGTGGGCTAGATGGGGAAGAAGGAGACTAATCTTTCATGTCTAGCCAAAGACAAAAGTCACCAAGGAAGTTTTATTTCTGTTTAAATCTCAGTTAGAGATGACAGCCTCCAACCCTGCAAAACACCAAATGCCAAATTACAAGGGCATTTAGTCAGAATCAGCAGACAGGAGAATTCATTTAACAGGTATAAGGTCTCTTGGATTTTGCAGAGTTAGCCAATAAGGGTTGGGGCTTCTAGGGCTCTCTTCTATCCAGGAGCCTGGTGATCCTAAATCTTTCAGCTGTCAGAGTAATTACAGAGTCAAACATAGGTTTGTACTCAGCATGTACTAGCCTTGAATAAAATTAAACTTCACCTTTTTGGGAACTGCTGCTTTTTTGGAAAGTACGAGACAATTATGCTACCACCCGCAGCGAGAAGCTGCAGGTTATTTCTGCAGCTCACCTCTGGTACCTGGAACACACACGGCACGTTCAGACACATCTATAGTCCTGTACAATCGTTAAGGCAGCTTGTGCCCTGCACAGTCCCAACTCTTGGTCATAAGAGGCTAAGGACTTAGCATCAACCAGTTGTACATGTAGTATAGTATAGCCAATTCTCAATTCATGGGCTCAAATGCTGAATATGACAACTGTTTTGAAGCAGTGATATAACAGGGGAACAAAAAAAGAGTCTTCACTTAGTTTCCTTAGAAAAGAAAAAATAAAACTTTTGGTTTTGCTGTTATTATCAATAGTACACAATATCCTACAAGTTTGTATTCCCCATTGAAAAATGAACTATGATGCAGCATCTCTCACACTACTGCTATCTGCCACTTAATGAAATCTTCTGCAATGGGTTTCATCCTCATTAGCACTACAAATTAGTGAGGTTTCATTTAGAGAATGAAGAAATCCAAGAGTATCTCTATATACTACTGGGCTACCAGGACAAAAAGGAGACTCAATGACGTGCCGCTCGCTTAAGAATTACTCAAGGACTACTGAATAAACATGGAACAGTCCGTTACATAGCAAGGTTTTATCAAGCAATGTAAACACTAGTACTCTATGATGGAGGTTCTCAGACTTCAGTATGCATCAGGATCACCTGAAGGACTTGTTAAAACACAGATTGTTGGCTCTTCCCCAAGCTGGGCAAGATTTGGTGGGTCAGGGGTGGGTTCAAGAATTTGCATTTCCAACAAGTTGCCAGGTAATTCTGGTGCTCCTGGTCAGGAACCACACCTTGAGAACAACTGGGAAGAGATGCAAACCTGATGGAATTCCAGTCCCTGCCCTTAAGGAGCTTAATTAAGGACCTTTGAAGAAAGACAATGAGTACACAAAATACATAAAAGTCTGCCAGGTGATGAAGAAAAAATGCTCCATGAGGTAACTGTCACACAGTTACGGGTATATGTTAGAACCCAGAGCTGCCAAATTCCACAGGAGAACCAGTAGAAAAAAACAAAATGGTTGATATTCAGAAAATAAAGAAGGCAGAATGGGTTGGTGGCAAAGCAGAGCTATGGAAAGGGTGCCTGAAGAAAGTGTGGAGGCTTGGTTTTTAATCCTAGCTCTATCTCTAATAACTACTATGTATTTGGGCAAGGTACTTAATCTCTATAGGTCTCAATTTTAAATTTTTTGTCTGCAGTAGAAATTATAAAATTCTTTTCAGTTCAAAAAATGATGGAGGCTACATGGAAGAGTAGCCTTTTAAGCTGGTTAATGAAGACTACGTATAACTTAGAAACACATAACAAAGACAGGAGTCATTTCTGGTGGAGGGAGGAACATGAACAAAGACAGATACAGAGATCAAAATAACTGCTGACCTTTGCGGAGCAGGGGATAGATGAAAGAGACGTGTCAAAACCGAGAAATGGAAGGGTCAGATCAGGCCAGGAAAAGGGGCTTTAAAAAGTAGGCACAGAGTAGGATCTGATGTAGAGGGAGGGCATCAGCATCACTGCAGGGAGGTCCTTGAACATGTAATGGCACCATGAAAATGGAGATTTAAATTCGTCTGGAGTAGTACAGAACAAAAATAGGTAACAAAATTGTTCACATCTCTAGAGACCAGTAGATCTTAGTGAGGGCTGTATATTATAATCACCGGTGGAACTTCTCTAAAATACACTAAAGACAGAGACTGAGACAGTAAGTCTTGGAATCCATATTTTTTAAAGTTCCACTGGTGAAAGTAAGGATCTGGTTCCAGTACTGACTCTGATTCACCATGATGTTTATGATGGTGAAGATTACAACAAGCACTTTCCCAGATTATGAGAATTAGGAGCAAGGCATTGCTTCTAAAAACATGCCTTCTTGCTGGCCTCACCCTTAAGCAGGACCTTCTCTCATTAATGTGGGCAGCACAGGATTCTTCTAAGAGTACTGGCTTACTAGTAAAATAACCAAATAGTATTTTAATGTTTAGATATCCTAAAACCTTGAAAAACTTTAGAGGCAGCAACATGGCTATTTATGCCCTGAGGATTACATAAACATGATGCTTGAAAGGCATGAGTCCAAAGCTTGCTAGACTACCAAATGGGCCTCTTTAGTACTCTCATAAGGGTAATGGAATCCAAGCCAAACACTCAAAGGTCAATTTCCCTTTCTGTTACCAAGTCACAAAAAGACTGGCAAGTTTCAACACCTTTCAAAAGGCAGATGAAGCCTTACATTCTGGTTTAATGAAAGATCCTCGAGTCAGTATCAAGTCTCAAGTAACAGAAAAATTGGTCCTGACTTTACAGAGACAAAAATTATTGGATTATTTTGTATATTTTAAGGTTGCAGCACCAACCCATGGCCACCTCATCACAACTCAGGTCCCTGCCATTTACCCCATCCCCTTAACTCTATGCTCCAATTTCCTCTCCCCTACTCCTCACTCCCAAAATGTGTCAAGGCTTTGGAGAACAAAGATTTGTTGAATATTGAGAAAAGAAGAAACTGAGGGAGGTGTGAAGGTAATTACATGGGGAAACAAGTCTAGTTCTAAAAACAAAGGACACCAAGACTCATGAGAGGAGGTTAAAAGGAAGCTGCATGACAATGAATGAATGAACCAAACCTGATTTTTTCCTGGAAGGAAAGGCAAGGGTGTGTGTGTGTGGGTGGGGAGTTGCAATCTACTGAGCTATGCATTAAGTTTAGACAGCCAGGCAAATGTGCCCATACCCACTGACGGTAACATTTAGGCTAGCTGAATATCCTCAAGTCATGTTATGTATGTTATAGATTTAATGGGAACAAATGTTTAAATAAGTAGGACTGGAGGAAGACTCAGACTGTCAGAGAGGGACGGAATCGTGGGGCATTTGATATTTTAGGCAGAATCTTCTTCCTTAGTCCTGCCAAGAAGCTGGGGAATAAGTCTGATCTGATGCATCTCAGACTGTGGATCTCTATGATCCTCTGAGCACAGCAAGACCATGACTACTTAGAGAATTATTCTAGCTACAATCTAGTGCCTCCTTCTCACTGAAAAGTTGGGAATCCTTGCCTGCCGAGACCATTTCAGTAGCATACAAGCAGTTCAAAACTGCCTCCCATCGCACCTTTGATTAACCCTATTTTGACAGAAGCTCCTGCCTCTCCCTTTCATTTATTCATTGGTACAGCACTAAATGTTAAGAAGATGGTCAAAAGAACCATGCTAAGAAGGAAAGAGGATGAATAATTCAACAGAGATATGAACAAAGGATATAAACAGAAAACTAAAAGAGATGAATACAAATGGCTAATAAACAACTGGAAGCCAATATACTTTTCTCAGTTTTAAAATTCCAAATTAAAATAAAATTCCAGTTTTCACTTATCAGGTTACCAAAATTTTAAGTCTAATAATACCCAGTGTTGCTAGGGGAAACAGACCCTCTCAAATTGGTGGGACAACTGATAGAGGACAATTCTGCAACATCTACCCAAAATGTTAGTGTGTATACCCTTTGACCTACCAAATCTACTTTCAGGAATTTATCCTACAGATAAACTGCCACAAGCGTGCAAGAAAAAAAAAATGTGCATGTGGGGATATTCA